TGCCTTGCTTAAACTGTCCTTAAAATCACTAGTGGATATTGGCCAGCTAATGTCAGTGAGCAGTCTATTCCCATGCTTATTTATCCAAATTCTTAGTTGCTGTCAATTATGCTCACTATGTCTTATTTGGGATAAGACCTGGGATTGTTTAGCCTCAAAAAGAAAAGGCTAAGGGGAAATCTTATCAGTGTGTGTAAACGCCTGATGGGAGGATGAAAACAAGATGGGGCCAGACTCTTCTCAGTAGTATTCAGTGACAGGACAAGAGGAAATGGGCACAAACAGAAATAAAGGAAATCCACTTGAAGTTAAGAAAAAGCTTTTTCACTGTGAGGGAGGTCAAATACTGGCACAGGCCGCCCAGAGTGGCTGTGGAGTCATCATCTTTGGAGACAGACAAAACCCCACTGGACATAATCCTGAGCAACCGGATGTAATTGAGCCTGCAGTGAGCAGAAAGGTTGTACCACAGGTTCCTTTCAACCTCAACCATTCTATGATTCAGTGACAGTGAACAAAGAAGCAAATTATTTTTGTCCTCTTTCCAGCAATTTTCATGTACTTCCAGACTGTTTTCCTGTTTCCCATGAGAAACTAGTCAAAAGAATCTTAATTCTTCAAATCATAGAATCATAGAATAGACTCATAGAATAGTTAGGGTTGGAAAGGACCTTAAGATCATCAAGTTCCAACTCCCCTACCATGGGCAGGGACACCTCACACTAAACCATCTCACCCAAGGCCTTGTCCAACCTGGTCTTGAACACTGCCAGGGGTGGAGCATTCACAACCTCACTGGGCAACCCATTCCAGTGCCTCACCACCCTCACAGGAAAGAATTTCCTCCTTATATCCAGTCTAAACTTCCCCTCTTTAAGTTTTAACCCATTACCCCTGGTCCTATCACTACAGTCCCTAATGAAGTGTCCCTCCCCAGCATCCCTATAGGCCCCCTTCAGATACTGGAAGGCTGCTATGAGGTCTCCACGCAGCCTTCTCTTCTCCAGGCTGAACAGCCCCAACTTCCTCAGCCTGTCTCCATACAGGAGGTGCTCCAGTCCCCTGATCATCCTCGTGGCCTTCTCTGGACTTGTTCCAACAGTTCCATGTCCTTTTTATGTTGAGGACACCAGAACTGCACACAATACTCCAGGTGAGGTCTCACAAGAGCAGAGTAGAGAGGCAGGATCACCTCCTTCGACCTGCTGGTCACGCTCCTTTTGATGCAGCCCAGGATACGCCTGGGTTTCTGGGCTGCGAGCGCACACTGAAGCCGGCTCATGTTCATTTTCTCATCAATCAACACCCCCAAGTCCTTCTCCACAGGGCTGCTCTGAATCTCTTCTCTGCCCAACCTGTAGCTGTGCCTGGGATTGCTCCGACCCAGGTGTAGGACCTTGCACTTGGCATGGTTAAACTTCATGAGGTTGGCATCAGCCCACCTCACAAATGTGTCGAGGTCCCTCTGGATGCCATTCCTTCCCTCCAGGGTATCAACCGAACCACACAGCTTGGTGTCATCGGCAAACTTGCTGAGGGCGCACTCAATCCCACTGTCCATGGCAGCGACGAAGATGTTGAACAAGACCGGTCCCAACACCGATCCCTGAGGGACACCACTCGTTGCTGGTCTCCAGCCGGACATTGAGCCATTGACCACAAGTCTTTGCGTGTGGCCATCCAGCCAGTTCTTTATCCACCGAGTGGTCCATCCATCAAATTGATGTCTCTCCAATTTAGAGACAAGGATGTTGTGTGGGACAGTGTCGAACGCTTTGCACAAGTCCAGGTAGATGACATCAACTGCTCTACCCCGTCCATCAGTTCTGTAGCCCCATCATAGAAGGCCACCAAATTGGTGAGGCAGGATTTCCCCTTAGTGAAGCCATGCTGGCTGTCACCAAGCACCTTGTTGATTTTCATGTGCCTTAGCATGCCTTCCAGGAGAATCTGCTCCAAGATTTTGCCAGGCACACAGGTGAGACTGACTGCTCTGTAATTCCCATGGTCATCCATTTTCCCCTTCTTGAAAATGGGGGTTATGTTTCCCTTTTTCCAGTCATCGGGAACTTCACCTGACTGCCATGATTTCTCAAATATGATGGCCAGTGGCTTAGCAACTTCATTCGCCAGCTCCTTCAGGACCCGCGGATGGATCTCATCAGGACCCATGGACTTGTGCACGTTCAGATTTTTAAGATGGTCTCGAACCAGTTCCTCTCCTACAGTGAGCCCAAGGTCTTCATTCTCACAGTCTCTGTGTCTGCCTTCCAAGACTTGGGTGGTTCGGTCAGAGCCTTTGCCAATGAAGACGGAGGCAAAGAAGTCATTCAGAACCTCAGCCTTCTCCAAATCCTGTGTAGCCAGTTCTACTGAGAGCTTCCTGAGGGGGCCTACATTCTCCCTAGTCTGTTTTTTTATTTGCTATGTACCTGTAGAATCCCTTCCTGTTATCCTTAATAACCCTAGCCAAGTTTAATTCTAACTGGGCCTTAGTTTTCCTAACCTGGTCCCTAGCTTCCCGGACAACATCCCTGTACTCTTCCCATGCTGCCTGTCCTTGCTTACACTTTTTGTAAGCCTCTTTTTTTCATTTGAATTTTCCTCAGCAGCTCCTTATCCATCCAAGGAGGTCTCCTGGCCCTCCTGCTGCACTTCCTTCTAGTTGGGATGCAACACTCCTGAGCTTGTAGCAGGTGATCCTTGAATATCAACCAAGAGTCTTGGGCCTCCATGCCCTCTAGGCTAAATCCCATGGAACCTTACTAAGGAGGTTCCTGAGGAGGCCAAAGTCTGCTCTCTTGAAGTCCAGGGCAGCGAGCTTGCTGCACGCTCTTCTCACTGTCCTGAGGATCTCAAATTCAACCATCTCGTGATCGCTGCATCCAAGGCTGCCCTGGAGAGTTACATTTCCAATGGGCCCTTCCCTGTTGGTGAGCACGAGGTCAAGCATGGCACCTCTCCTTGTCAGCTCCTCTATTACTTGCAGAAGGAATTTGTCTTCCACACAATCAAGGAGCCTCCTGGATTGCTTGTGCCGGGCCGTACCGTCCTTCCAACAGATGTCAGGGTGGTTGAAGTCCCCCATGAGAACAAGGGCCTGTGAGTGTGAGGCTTTTCCTATCTGTCTATAGAGTGCTTCATCCACAGGTTCTCCTTGATCAGGCGGTCTGTAACAGATCCCCACAGTAACGTAACAGATCCCCACAGTAATGACTATAAATCATAGCTTCTAAAATTCAGATTATTCAGAATAAAAACAGGCCTTTGGCCTGTTTTTCAGTTGGTAGCTATTGAAATGGTTGTATCAAACTGAATATAGCTTTCCCACTGAGGTCTTACTCACAGTAAAAGGATTACTGCATAGGTCTCCTGGATAATGCTCCTGTGAATTCATTTTAGTATAACTGGATTATTTGACTGGTTTTGTTCCTGGTTGCTTGATCAATTTATGATCTGGGATTACCCCAGAATTCCTGATTATCCAGCTGTTCCTGAGCTAACACTGATGAGGACGATCATTCCTCTTGCCACTAATTTCATTCATTTCAAATAACTTCTTCAATTTGCCACAATAATCTGATAATGGAATCCTGATACCCAGTGGGCTCTCAGGCCCTTCTAACTCAATAAGTACACTTGTTATTCCATTATTGGGGCCATCGGTAAAGACTAACTCAGGAGTTAACCATTAGTAACCACTCTGCAAAAAAACCTTCCCAACTATCTGGGACTGTGGAGGTGTTGTAACTGGACCCTTTTTCCTTAGATAGTTATGGGGAAACCATAAGAGACAGGATCAAAGGTCATATTAAGTACAGACATACACTGTTGCCCAGGACTGGCATAAGAATAAAGGGTATTGATTCCATCTTAAATTGATTGTGTTAACTGGTTCAGATTTCACTGACATGCGCAAACAGTAGCAAATTAGAAGCCCAAATACTTTTTCTGCTTTCTGGGACTTCTGTTAGTATTCAAAGATCAATACTTACTTCTCCAAGGTTATCATGTCTCCACCTGGTCCTACTGGATAGATGACATAGTGTAGGCTCCTGCAGCAACAACACATGCTTGTGATTCTTCCCTTCAGTAATTACTCAGAGATCTATTTCCTCCTGCATTCTGTATGGTGTAATGGTGTATATGGCAAGTTTATGATGCCTTAATAAATGAAATGGGGTCTTGCAATATTTTGTATTCCTCTTCACACAAAGAGGTCATTGACTATTTATATGAAGTTTCTAGAAAATGTTAAGGTTTTGTTCAGGAATGGCATTGACCTTTTCTTAGAAACATCTCCTGGTAAAGCTGAGTCATCTGTGTAGCTATCAGTCACAGTGTTACAGTTCTCTCATTTATCACACATAGTCATACACCTAGGGTGTAAAGCTATTACAGATATGCAGTATATATATTATTCAAATGTATATATATGTTGTAACATAATTAAAATGTCAAACAAAATGAAAAGCACATTAGTAACTACCAAGTGTTACATGTGGCTCTGATTCCACCTTCGATTCTCACTGGCGTTCCCCTTCATCAAATGCAAAACCTGACTGACTCCAATGACAATCCAGAACTTCCCTGGTTTGTCTGAGGTATAGTTTAATTTTTTCATAAAATATAGAGCTTGCCTTCATTTATCTGCATATAAATATGAGCACAAACTCTTTCACCATAGCAGTTTAAAACATTTTACACATATTAATATAATCAGGCTATAGCACCTCCTATAGTAGGGGAAATACTACCTTTAGTCATATATGCTAGAATGAGGTACAGAGAGCTTAAGATATTTATCCAAGGCCAGGCAGATTGGTCAAGGATTCAGACTTCCTGATTTTCAGTCCCACATCTATCTTCTTTCTCTAGGTTTTACAATGACGTATGTGTCATTGCTCAAGAAATGCAAAGCCAGCAATAAACACTTCTAGCCTCTCTATCATCTCTCCATCAGCAATCATCATCTATCCTAGTTATCCAAGTATAAAACATATCCTCTCACAGGAAAAGAAAGTTCTTTTAATCTTCTGGTTTAGCCCTTTGAGAGTCATAAGAATTCTAATTACCGGTACAGTACTTAATGAGCATCAAGAGCTTGAGGATTGCAGAATCTATACAGGACTTTCTTATCCACATGCCGCAGATGAAGAAAAGCTGATTCAGTCGGTTTTGACCTGAATTATCTCTTAGCAGCTCGAGATTCTGCTCTTGGGAGAAAAGGATTCAGTGTCCCTCTTAGAACTTCATACATTCCTACTCTTTAATACTTATATGTTTATCTGCAGTAAAAATACAGCTTTATGTAGAGGTTGGGGTTCTGTAAAGATGAGTTTTACTTGAAAGCAGTGAGTATGAATGTCAGTAAGGTTTCATTATGGCTTTAGATGTCTACTAGAATAACTTCACTAGCAGTGTTAAAAATAATCGGCTCTCCAGCCAGCCTATCTGTGCTGTGAATCTGGCTGAGCTACAGCAAGTCTTACAGAAGCCTATCCTCACTATTCCAGCTTGTGTAATTTGGGAAGGTGATATAATGGTCACTGGAAAAGCTCTTTTGGATGGCACCTCTGCGTCTTATCACAGGGTTTTGCTGCTCCAAGTCTGGATGAGCACATGGAGTCCTTACCACTGAAACAAAACCGGAATATGCACTCCAGGACTGGTGCTCCAGTTGCGGAAGGGACAAAACTAGATCAAACCTTAAACTCAGAGTGAATTGCCAAGTGAATTAAATTCTAAGCCTAAAAACTTAGGCTGTTTCTGTTCTATAAGGACCAGGCAAGTTTACTATTACTCTGGTTACTGTTATTTGGAGTCCAGTTTCATAAACACTATTTTAGAAGGTTATTCTGCATCTGTATTAGTTCCCCGAATTCAGTTCACAATGTGCTGCACAAATGCTTGTGGCTGTACAGGGCAGGCATGGTACAGGAATAGAAACACACAGCTGGGAAGGAGGAAATGATTATTTAAGCTGCCGTTAGCAGAATTGTTGCTGAATGTCACAGCATGGCAAACCTTACTCTGCAAGTTCACTCTGGAACATCTTCTGGGGCAAGGAAAGAATTTTACCCCAAATCCACTTATTGCATAGACTTTTGCTGTAACTATATAAATACATCTGCTATTTAAGAAGCATGTTAGTCACAATATAGAAAATGAAGTCAACTGGAGTGATAGAAATGGTTTGTATTAAAAATGTAATAACTGGAGTACCACAATACGCTTTCCATCACAACTTGGTAGTGCTTAAAATCTTGGAGCGCTGAAAGCACTGGCTTCCAGGCTGATCAATAATGTCTCATTAGCTTGTGTTCCATCCTTTAAACCTCTCATTCTCTCCTTGTTCCTTGTCTTTTGTAATGGTTCTAAACCTCTGGAATGTGAATAGGCATTCCACACTGGCTTTGTAAAGTATAGCACATCAGAGGTCCTTATCCACAACAAGAGTTCCTGGGCACAAGAGTAATGTAATCAATGCATAATAATTAATAACTATTGTACAAAAGAGTAAGTGCCATGAGAAAGGGGAGCAAGAGGAAAGCAATTTTAAAAGAAACCAAACCCAGGGAAGGTAAAGCTTATCCTGCATTTATTCCCATCACGTTCAACCAACAAAGATTTTTGCAGTGAATAACTAATAAATTCCTTTTTCATAGCACAGCCAAAAACGGGGTGAAAAGTGACAGAGAAATGTAATAACACTTCAGTACTTGGCAACTATTGCTATTCTTCAGGCAATACTTGATGCTCAGCCTCAACAGTATACACAACAGGGGGAGTTAGTTATATGAAGAATGGAATACATCTGTTTCGCGATTTTACTACCAAATCGCTGCAATACTCAGAGAAACTGAGTAGTCATAAGACAGAAAATAAGCTAAATCTTTTGGAAAAATCTAGATTCAATGAACCCCAACAGCATTATAAAGATAACTGGGGCTTTCTTCTGTAATATTCCATCCCATTTTTACTAAATGTATTCTGCTCCACTCCCAAGACACGGAGTTAAATACTGATTTGTAGCTGGAACCACCAGCAAGACAAAGTTGGTTTTGGAACATTTCCATAGGAGCCCCAACTGTGACCTCATGCCACCCTAATAAAGATACATATGGTTGTGAGGAAGCCTGGTTTAGCACCACCCACACTTAAACTTTCTGTGATCAAATATAGCTCTAGAAAGGAAAAGTCTCTTGTAAGGCAAATGTGCAAAAACCCCACACTTGGAAAAAATGAGTCTGCTGTACAGATTTCCTCAATACTTTCTAGCAAATGGGATTCATCAACCTTTAATCAATGAAAAGACAGAAAGTGGAGTAAAAAATTCAGTCTACTTGGTGAAGGATTTTCTGTGCCTGGTCTACTTTGTCCACTCCTAAAACCACTGAAAACAGTAGGCCCAGGTCATCAAAGGAGGAAAAGCAGGTAGAATCTGTTTTAAATTAGCTGTGGTGTTTATTACAGTGGCCATGAAGAGCAGCCTGTCAGCTTGGAGCCTCCTCCTTCTTTGTCAGTCTCCTTTACCTTGGAGAAATGAGGAATTAAATGTGGCCTTAGTATACCATAAACAGTATTTTAACTGATGAAGGCAGATCAATAACACAGTAAGGAAGCTTTTCATGTGTCATTGTGTTAGGTGGATAGACTGCAAAGTGAAGTTTGCAATTGTAGAATAAAAGAATTGTAGGCAGTCAAAACATTCTCATTTCTTTTTGCAAATGGTCTCATTGATTTGATTGTAACAGTAAGTGCAGCAGAGGGAAATCAATACATTACCCACAAGCCATGTAGTACGTTGCAGATGGTAACCACATACACATGGCTTTGAAGGGAAAATGTTATTGTTTTCCTCTGTGCTCAGGGAAGATTGTGAAGTCAGTGGAAATTTCTCATTGGCAAGCAAGAGGTTTTCATGGGGAAGGAGGAAATACCAATGTCCCTCTTCCTTTAGAGATAACAACTACAGCTGCCATATGAAAAAGTTATTTCAGTGGAAAGAAAGCTTAAAATAAAATTGGGCAGAAATCTGTATGCTGAACTGCTTTCCCTGGGTTTGAGAAAGTTGTCATTTTCTTGCCAAAAGCTAATATTCATGCCAGTGGTTTTGTATTTTTCTGTTCTAAAACACAACATACAAGTATTTTTCAGAGTATTTAATACTGACAGTACATTTACAGGTACTTCAGAAGTATCCTGGTGGCAACTGTTGGCTGTCACAAACAAATCTCTTTTTATCTGCTATACTGCCAATGTGAAGAACCTACTGCGTTACTTTTGTTCTGAGGAGGCTCCTTCTCAAAGCAGGCTTTTCAGAGTGTCTGGTTAATACATGACACAGCCTCTTTAAAAGCACATAAAAGCCTTAAAAAACCCTATTTCAGAAGAGGAAGGTAACCCAAGAGTCCTTCTCACATGATAATTTATCAACCATCCCACACAGCTGGGGAGCTATCAGGTTAGTAACTGTGTGATGAAGAATAAGGGAAATTAAAGAATCTGACTGGAATATTGTAGAAGCCCTGATCCATGCATGTGATTTAAGATATTAAGAGTATAGCATCATGAATTAATTACTCACATTCCTGTATTAGTAGGAACACATTAGAACCATCTGAGTTACAGAATCAGGCAAACCAGTTTGTCTTGTCTGCAAGATAACCAGCAGGCATAATAGGAGGCTGAATGGGGACAACTGAATGGAGAAACCTAAGCTCAGTTAAGGAAGCATAAAGGAAGCATATGGAAGCATATGGGAGGTGCAAGTGGGTAGAGACTACTCAGAAGGAATACAGATGCATTGCCTGGGCACACAGGGATGCAAATAGGAATGACAAAGCACAGCTAGATTAAAAACTGGCAAGGAGTATGAAGGGGAACAAGGCAGGCTTCTATAGTTACCCTGGCATCAAGAAGATGACCAAAGAAAACTTAAGCTCAATGCTGAGCGGGGTGAGGACACAGAAAAGGCCGAGGCCTTTTTTACCTCAGGTTTTACTGGATGATCTGCTTTCAGGCCTCCCTTGCCTCTGTGTCTAAGAGCAAAGGTAGGCTACAGAAGTTCTACCAGCAGTAAAAGATGACTGAATTAGGGGTTACTTGAATAAACTGACATCAAATAGTCCTTGGGACCTGATGGGATGCATCCAGAAGTGCTGATGTCCCTGCAAGATTGGTTTTTGTCATCTTCATGGCACTTAATCCTGTAAATAACTAGACTAAATATACCTCCAATAAGCAACAAGGCAGCAAAAATTCTTTCCTCTCATTGTGGAATAGATGGCTTAACCAGTCAGGTGAAAGCAAAGCAGCAAATGTTCATAGTATAAAATCTCCACCCACTGCACCTGTGAGTTAGTATCGCTAATAGCAAAGGAGTAAGCTACCTATAAGGATATTGTGCAGGCTGACAGGAGTGCTTCAAATACATTATAGGTGTATTCACTGTCAAGGAAGATTTTTCTGATGGAAAGCTAGCAGGAGCATGAAAGCCAAACAAACAAAAATGCTCCACATCTTCTCAATCATAGACATTTAGAAATAAAGATCCTCACACCCTCCACAACATCATTCCCAAGATGGGTATTATTCATCCCAGGAAGATGTGTATTTGTTCAATCTATCCAGACAACTGTACTTCCAAGCAGAGAGTGTTGCTAAATCAGCACTTCACATTAACATTTGAACTTGAAATCAGGTGATACTGAGAGTGAGAGCCCATGACTAATCGTCAGCCTCTGCATTTCCTCACCATTAACTATTGACAATGAACTGCAAAAATGAAAAGCTCCCTTTCCAAGTCTTCTTTTTATATGCTAACTGAAGCTGACAGGCTCACAAACACACTGACCAGCTGTGAATCTGTGAAGAACAAACAGAATGTGAACAGAAAACTACCTAAGGGAAAAAAAAACAAACCAGCAACCCAATCAAAGGGTGAACAAGAGTGAAACAAAATCTGTCCTTCAAATCTCTGCAAGGAGCTCCCAATTATTTTAATGGCAACTCTCTGCATTACACAACACCAAACCATTTGGAAAATGCATGCAGAATAGAGATGATATTGCAAGTGGCAGTGAGAAATACTCTAGCAAGATAGTGCAGACTGCATACACTTAAAACACTTTTCTAGACTGGATGCTTCAAAAATCAAGCTCTTGCCTGGGTCCTGAATATTAACATTTAGTAAGGACATTTCTCATTTCTTAATGTCCTGTCAACACATGATGTTAAGGTCTTTTCCAGTCCTAACCATTCTATATTCTATAACTCATATATATATGAATAATACACTAATAGAGAAACATTGTATGAGAGAGAAACCAATCTTTTCAAAGAATGGCTTCAAAATAGTGCTGTTCAGTAGTGGGTAATTTAATAAAGGTGAATCTATTTGTGATTTGAAGAGGCTGACCTCTGCAGCAACCCATACCTCTCTGTCAGCAGTCTTCAGTGCTCTCAGCCAGAGTTGTGTCCAAAGGAACTTTTGATTTGGCATGATAAAGGGAAGCAGAAACTTCTGGCAGGGGGATGAAATTCCTAAATTGATCTGCCACTGACAGAACAGGCTCGTTCTGGAAATCTCTGCCCTCAGCTGCTAGTTCCCATGCCCCAGCTGGAGATTCCCACTGGCCTGTTGTGTGACAAATGCCAAGTGAACTGTTGATGGAACTACTCTGAGTGGGTGGAGTCCGTAGCAGGGGCAGGACATCTTTCTTAATGTCATTTTCATACTGATTATCATTTGTTCTTACAGGACAATATTAATCACCTTAGTTAAGTCTTTATAGGTTTCACAGATAATTCGATTAAAGTCAACTGCTGACATTTGCACAATGAAATGAAGGAATGGTACCACTGCATAATGTGTTTATTTACTCTGTCCAGGAAAAGACAACAAAGTATAGAGGCACGTATGTACAACTGACAGCTAAAAGAGATTCTTCTGCCCAAGGGAACGTCTCAGAAATCTTCCTCACCTCCCATGTTAGTAAATCTGTATCACTGTAATTCTCAAATTTCTTTTTTCCTTAAGGTTTCACACATCTCTCTGTGAAAAGGGGATTGCTGCAGCTACTGCCACTAAGACGCCTGCTGCCTGTGACTCATTTAACTGACTGCTGTCCCTCTGCCCTTCTTATAGCGCAAGGCAGAGAAGAGAGAGAGAAGAGCAGAACTCAAGAATCTCTGTTAGCAGACAACTGCCAGCTTTCTTGCAGGGTCACAGAGGGACTGCTCTCCAACAGAAGATGCACAAAGGGTTGTACTGAACTGAGCATTTGAACAACCTGAGGCTCTTCCTGCTCCTCATTCTTCCCTTTAGACAGCTAAAACTGAAAGACGGACACTGATTTCTTTGCACACCAGGAGCTTTCAGTTAGAGACAAAAAAATACATCCCATTGCAATCACAGCTCTGTTCTCCACTTATTTGACCTGAAATTTCACAATGCCTTCTCCACTTGGGATAGGCTTCATTTTATGGCACTATAAATGTATTGATTTACAAGTGAGGAAACAGCACTGCATTGTTCTGGTAGGAAACAAGCCACGGATCAATCCATCCCTGTGTTGCATTTCTCTGTATGTTTGATGCAAAGTCAAGAAGTAATTAATTCAAAAGAGATCTAGTTATTAAAATGCTGAGAAGCCATTCAAACTTTTTTCTTGCCCAGTACTCACAGGAGTGATCTGAATTACTAGCAGTCTGCCAATGGCACTGACTGCCTCATGCAAGAACTGGGCAGGACAGTGCTACACTGGAAGCCATAGGGCATTCACGATGTGTAAGCATGTTTAAAATCAGGATCTGTAGCCAAGAACAGTGCATCTTTTGTATACCTGCCCTGGGGAAAATGTTAAGAGATACGAGCCTCTATTATCGAGTTCAGTTCCATTCATGTTGTTCCTATACTATTTAAGTATACTTAAAAAGCAACATCAGAGTTCAGACCTTATATTTGAAAGAAAAATCTTAAACTGCATTCAAAATAATATAAATCCAGTACAGTCATTAAAAAATAAATTCTTTTAAGAAGGGCAGATGGAAATAAATGAAAATATGGGAAGATTGGTTTTCTGGTATGATGTAAAACTTGCGTGCACCATTAATTTTCATGATATACTGAACATATTTTTTCAACAGACCAAGCTGCACCCAAATGGCGGTAGTCACGATGGGATGCTATTTGTCTATGTCCATTTCTGCTTCAGTTTTATAGGGAGCGGGACTTCAGCCTCTATAAGCAAACAAAAGCTCTGGAAACCTGTGGACAAGCACCCAGTAAGCCTGTAGCAGTGACAGGCTTGCTGGTATGCTTTCCAGTGTCGCCTGGAGAGGAGACAGTGTGTAACTAACTACTATACTAATATCTTATACCAGGAGGTGCTCTTCTTCGTATAAATATTTAAAATCATGAGTGCTGGGGTATTAAGATTTCCTATGATCACTGTATCGGCTCCTGCCTGTTTCCACCAATTATTAAAGTTGCTCCCTCTTGGGGAAAGCAGGAAAACTTCGGGGGATGCCGCCTTGGCTGTTACCACCTCGCCTGTAGTGGCCGGCTATGACCCCCTGCGGCTCTGCGGCTTGTGCTGCTGAAGGCTTCCAGGCCCTGCGGGGCTCCGGTACCCCTGCACACATCGAGAGAGGGCCAGAGGGGCCGGGGACAGCCAGGGCCACCGGGGAGCCGGACGCGGCAGCCCTGAGGGGCCGCAGAGCGCTCCTCCCTCAGACTCAGCTCCAGGCGCTGCCGGCACAGGGGTTATCACAGAATTATTTACGTTGGAAGGGCAGTTAAGATCTCCAAGGCCACCACTAAAGCATATCACTGAGGGCCTCATATACACAGTTTGTGAACGCTTCCAGAGATGCCGACTCCACCACTGCCCTGGGCAGCCTGTTCCAACGTCTCACTACTCTTTCGGTGAAGAAACTTTTCTTAGTATCCAGTCTAAACCTTCCCTGGTGCAGCTTGAGGCTGTTTCCTCCTGCCCTATCACTTGTTACTTGGGAGAAGAGACTGACCCCACCTCACGACAACCTCCTTTCAGAGAGCGAAAAGGTCCCCCTGAACCTTCTCCATACTAAACCCCACCCCGGTCCCTCAGCCCTTCCTCACACACTTGTGCTCCAGGCCCTGCACCGGCTCCGTTACCTTTCTCTGGACCCGCTCCAGTACCAGCTATCCCCGCCACAGCACCTCAGCCCTGCCCCTGCCCGCTCCTCACTGTGGCTGTGCAGTCCCGGGCCGCCTCCCTCCACGGGGCTGCGCTGAACGGAGCAGCGGGCTGAGGGGAGCGGGAGCTCCGCCCCTCGCCCTCCGCAAACCCCGCCCCTATTCCGGGCTGCGCCAATGAGAGCCCTGCGAGAGCGTCACGTGCGGAGAAGGAGGCGGGGCCGGAACCCCGGGGGAGCGAGCCTCGGCAGGAGCGGCGGCGGCGGCGCTGGGACTCGGCGGGCTTAGTGTGGTGGCGCGCGTGCGCGTACCCGCGCTCTGCTCGGGAGCGCGCCCCGGCCCTCCACACCTCCCTCCCACCCGCCCCGCCGCGTTCCTCCCGGCGCGCACGGGTGCAGAGCGGCGGGAGCGCCCCGCTCGCCCTCCTTCCCGGCGGTGTGCGAAGATGGAGCTGTTCCAAGCCAAGGACCACTACATCCTGCAGAGCGGGGAGCGGGCGCTGTGGTGCAGCCGGAGGGACGGCAGCCTGCAACTGAGAGCCGGTGAGACCCCGCCGCTGGCGCTGCTTCCTGTGTGGGGAAGGGCCGGGGTCCCCTCGTCCGGGGGGGGGGCGGTGGCTGAGAGCGGCCGGGGAGAGGGTCGCTGAGGGAAGGGCAGTGGCGGTGCCGAGCCCCGCTGAGGAGTGGCGGGGGGCTCTGTAGTGGTGCCGCGGGTGGGTCCGGTGGGGCTCAGCCTCCCGCGGGCTCGGGAACCGCCTCTGCCCCATCGCCCGCCCCGCGGAGGGTGAGCCCCGGCTGCTGCTGGCCCCGCGCTGCCCGCAGCCGTGCCCGCGGGGCGGGAGGTCACGCGTGTCTTCGCCCCGCGTGGAATTCCAATGAGGAACTGGGGTTTTATTGTACCATGTGCTTGTTTCTGTGTAAAATCAAGTAGGGCTGCGTCTGCCACCCCCCCCCTCCGTGGGGAGCCTGAGTGGTTCCTGATATTGGAAATGGATCTGGGCACCCTCAGGGGAACATCACCAAACCAGAAGGGCCATCTTGTGCTGGTGTCAGCCTTACGTAAGGGATGCTGGCCACTGTTCCCGGCAAACGGTGATTGCGTCTTGGGGCAAATGTGTCCCCGTGTCTCCTCTTTGAGGAGAGGTTGAGCAGGGCTCTACACTTCTAAATTGCTCTCAGATTTCATTAGTGTAAGTGATGGTTACAGAGGGGGTTAAGTGTATCTGTATCAGGCTGAAGAGAAGGAAGTGGGATCAAAAACTGTGGATTTGTGTTAACAAAAATGTTTGCATAGGGTTGCTTTACAGAAATCTTGAAACAATGGTAATGGTGATACCCTATCCTGGAGGTGAGTCAGTAAAAGTGTCTATAAAATGAAATACCATCCTTAGAATCATCGAATCCCAGACTGGTTTGTGTTGGAAGGGAGCTTAAAGCTCATCCAGTTCCAACCCTTGCCATAGGCAGGGACATCTTCCACTGGAGCAGCCTGGCCTTGAACACTGCCAGGGATGGGGCAGCCACAGCTTCTCTGGGCAACCTGCGCCAGTGAAATCAGCTTGCTTTGACAAATAGATGTACCTTAGATGTAAAGGACTACAGTGTACCTGCTTAGAACTTAAAAGTACTCTAAATAGCTGGATGTTTCACCAAACAAAAAGTCTTCTAAATTTGGGATCCATTTACGCTGATAGAGCCAGTTCAGCATGCATATGACCAGGTTGGCCATCTGAGCAGAGCACACTTCATGATCTCTTTCATAAAAGGCTGGAAAAACTTTGTACATAAACATCAAATACCATTGTTATCTGTGTTTATCCAAAGAGCTGTTTTTCAGACTGGTCTGCCTTGTGTTATGGTTTTATAGTTGGGTCATGTCTTGTCAGTGCAAGTGTTTTGCATCTCTTAGATAAAATTACAGTCTGCCTCAAGTTAATGTGACTTATTCTTGTCCAGCAGTTTCACTTACAGTTGAAAGTCCAGTAATCCTTTGGCTTATACATCACCTTACAGAATACTTGATGTTAACCTAGCAAACAATACTGCTAGTCAACGAAATGTGTGGTTTTGTGTATGTGTGTGTGGGGAAGCCTCCAGGTTTAGATTTGTAAGTTATAGCCATCTGCAAAAGCATAAAAGCTCTTGCTTGACCCAGGCTAATGAAAGCACAAAACAGTGAACTGTAGTTATGGCCATCGGTGTTTGAAAGCTTTATTTTTAAAAGTATCAATTTTTTGATACTTTTATCAAAATAATGGAAAATCACAAAATTTTATTTTTTTTATCAGTTTTTAACATTTTATCAGAATCACAAAACCAAAATCACTTGTTTCATGCAGCCGTTGCTGTGGTTTTTTTTTAATACATTTTTGTGTTCTCAAAGTCCATGAACCTCATGGAGGCTTTGCCAGTGCCCAGTAATGCCTCTGCTGCTCAGCAGCATTCTGTCCTTAGCTTTCCTTTAGGTTTTCAGCCAGTATACATGTGATGCCTGACCTACGGATGAATGAAAGGTAACATGATATCAAAGTAGCTTAGTCTGCTTGAAACTCTTGACGTTAGTCACCCTTTCCTGTTTCAGTGTGTTTGTAGTCTTGTTTTTCCAACCATGCTTGTGGATCATCTTCATGGAAGTGGGCTGTAGGGCTGTGAAATGAAATACCTTAAAGTGTTGAAAGCAAGCCCAAGACAGAAATGGTTCTCTGACAAGAAGTCTTTCTTGGCTCAGTAGCTCTTGCATATATGAAGACAAAGCTGGATATCCTCAAGTTTACAATTTTATTACAGGTTAATTTCATTAATCAAGGCCACTGACCGGAAGTGAGTAACTGGATTATTGTGTGATGAGTCACTGCCGCATTAAAAATCCTAAAATCATAACTTGTGTTCATTGACATGTTTAATAGTCTGTCAAAAGGCTGTAATTTAACTGTGTGTCTTTGCTCAGCTTTGGAGGCCTTGGTTTTATTCTGTCTCGAAGAGGTTGCTCTGAAGTGATCTTTATACATTCACAGATTGAAATAGATAACGCTGGCAAACCTTGCAGAGTACTGCTTTCTATGATAGGTCTGAATCTAAAGGGCTGATGCTAAGCCTCATAAAACTCTGCTCCCTGAATTGCAAAGGCATGTTCAGAAATGTGCTGATTTTTGAAAGCTGTATTTCTGACCTCTTTGAATCATGGAGAGAACAGCTTGAATTTAGAAAGGCAAAAAACCCTTGGTAAATATTTGCTAAAAGCAAAATCTGAGGTTGGCCCTGGTTTGAAGGATTTCTGCCTATGTTTACAAGATGTTTCTGGTGGTTTTTTCCCCTCTGAAGTGAAAGCACTAATGAGTCACCTGCAGGAAATCTATGAATCACTTTGGCATCATAGATTTGGTGAGGAATTTAGCAGTCTACAGTGTACTTTCATCAGTGTTATGGAAAAACATGTGCTGTTCAACCATGCTTTAAACACCTTACATCAGCTCTTGATCGGGATTTCACTCTTGGTTTACTCTGTTTATGCTCTGTTTGACTGCTCCTGACTGGTAGTTCTATGCAGTTTACAAACATTGTTTTATTGATGTTGTTGGTATAAATTATGTATTTATAGACACATGTGTATACACATATAGAAAAGAGTGAAAGTCTTGAAGACACTGAATTCTTGCTGTCTCCTTATCAGCAGAAAAAGGAATGGGACTGTTTTATGGGGTGAACACTATTATAATCATGTTGGCCTTGATAATACCCTGGGCAGTAATGCCAGACTCCGTAAGTTTTGGAGTTGTTACTAAAACTATTACTAGTTCTTATGCTGCTTCCCACCACCCTGCAGGAAAAAGCCTCCAAGGTATTTTGAATGATATGTGGTTTGGAATCATCCTAACACAACTTTTGTGCACTTATGCTCTAAGACTCCATCACCTCTGCCTGCAAGAGTAAGGTGCTGTTAAGGTGTGTCCTACTTCTGGAGCTGTAACTAGAGGCAAATGAGCATGTTTGTTCTAAATGCCTTAGGAAATCAGTGTTACAGCACTGACTTTCATCTGTTGTGAATCAGCAGCTGAAGCAATGCCTCTTAAATGTTTTGCTTTTAATGAGGGGCATGTCACCAAACAGTATGTCAGAGTATTGGAGGACAGATTTCAGGTGTCTTAGTCTGATAGTGTGAAATCTTCCCTGAATCACAAATAGTGAGGCCATCTAGTGTGTTATGTGTGCTTGCCTTACTCCTCAGAGACATTGCAGGAGTCATGTCGGAACTGCTTGTCAGAATTCCTGAGCTGCTGTTCGTCATTGTGGGCTGGAGAAGAGTGGTACCTTTGTTTGAAGTCTAATGCCTGTACATGCACAAGTGAAGGCCTTGGTGTAATGAACGGTGTAAGGAATAATGCCACAGGTACCTGTAGATGGATTGGTAGGTGTAAGCCTACAGAATCGTCCTGATGCTGGCCTGAGTGTGAACTCGTGCTACTGAATTAAGTATTTCATACAAAACTGGCTTCCTGAATTTTGTACTATGTCTTAAGAACTGCCTGTCTGTTCTGGAAAATGAATTCCAGAGGAGGTAGTTGTAGCTTTAGGAATAAATCCATATTCCAAGTTACTTGTTAAGGAACCTCAAGCTGGTTTTTGACACTTCTTTAGCTGCAGTGGTTACTGAACTGTTTCTCCCCCTTGCTGGCTCATTCTGTTCCTTCTTTTCTGTACCCTTTCTCAGTTGTCAGCACAACGTATCTGTGGTGTATGTGACAAACCAGATGTTAGATCTGATCTGTATTAGCTGCAACCCAGCAAGAATGTATGCTTAAAAAAATCTTCAGCATTTAGTTCCCTGTTGCTGCTTGCTCCTTCTTGCAAAAGAGAATAGAAAGGACTAGGGTAGAGGGGTGGGCTGCTGTGAATCCTTCATCTGATTGAATATTATGTACAGTAGTCCATTTTTTTTCCTTGTTTCTGACTGTGAGGTAGGATTTTCAAACATATTTACCACAATTAAAATAAATCTGTAATTCAGGTGGATTTTTGTGCTCATATTTTAGCAGAGGTTGGGCTCATCTTTGATCTCATGGCTTAATATGAGCTAAATGGTGAATAGGAAATTACAGACTAACTACAACTAAAATATTTTCAGTTAAGAAGGTCTGTATCAAAGGCTTGTGGTTTTTCAATCTGTGAACACTGTGATTAGGTTCTTTCACAGTTTAGCAGTGTGGGTGATATTTCAGCTGTATGTGTAAGGAAACATTAAAACTTTAAGTGACTTAACATTTTGAACTGCAGTAAAAGGGGACCATTTATTTGATATGCCGCTTATGTTCTTTCAAAACAACTGCTGTAGATTGGAATGTGTTTTGTTTAATGGTGTTTAATTGATACTATTCAGCATACAGGAGAGCTCTTACATTGCTGAAGTTATGCCCCAGAAAGAATAGTTAATGCTGTAGCTTCTTAAGGGACTCTGCAATAACTTCCACCAAACAGTTCCCTTGAACTATGAGGCTTCTCAGATGGTGGGTTAGAATTTTCTTTTAGAAGCAAATCCTTCAGTGCAA